GAGGGCGGCCGGCGGAAGCGCACCACCTTCAGCAAGGCCCAGCTGGAGCTGCTGGTCCGCGCCTTCGAGAAGGACCCCTACCCCGGCATCGCCCTGCGGGAGCAGCTCTCCGGCCTCACCGACATCCCCGAGTCCAGGATCCAGGTGAGCGGGGCGGGAGGGGCGGTGGGGCGGCTTCCCCCGGCCGGGCCGCGGCGCGGCGGGGGCGGGCGCTGAGTCTCTGCTGGCCCCGCAGGTGTGGTTTCAGAACAGGAGAGCCCGGCAGCTGAACCACAAGAAGAGCGAAGCCGCCGCCTACCCCAAGCCGGCCTGCGGCAAGCAAAAGCCGAGCCGCTGTGGGGGCGGCTGCCAGGAGAGGTCCCGGACGGCGCAGGGTCTTTGGCCGGACCGGAGCCTCCTCCATCCGCCGCCCGGCCTGCCAGGAGGAAACCAGAGTTTCTCGGGTCAGCCGTCGCCCTGCTCGGGGCAGCCGTACTCGAGGCTCGATGCTCATTTCAGGAGCCTGGATAACGCTTTTGGAGCCCTGGGTCAGACCCCAGCTCACTTCGGTTTGGACTGTGTGGGAAAAGGGGTCCCGCTGGGTGCGGGGAGCGTGGGCAGTCCCCCCCAGCTCTCGCTCCCTGTGCAGCAGGCGCAGGAGTATCCATACCTGAAGAAATCTTTTCCCGAAAGCTACTACTCAGATGCAGATGTTTTCCAGTCTTGTATAGAAGATCACCAGTACCTGGCAGCTAAAGAGAACATGTATAGGAGGCCTGTCTTAAACTACTTGAATGCTAACCAGGGCCTGGGCGATGAGAACTACTTGTATATCAAGTCCAACACTTCTGCCTTTGGGAAGGGCTCCACTTTCAGTTATGGTGAAGGGGAATCGAAGCCCGAGCTTGAGCAGATGAGGCACAGCCCACCTCTGGTTATGGCTAGTCACACTAGTCCTCCTTTGGTACTTCCAAAACATGACGGGGGGTATCAAGGGACGCTTGCTGCTCCGGCCCCATCATATGGGCAGCAGCTGCTGGAGACAGTAAGTGACTGTGACCCTCACTGGCTGGGCGTGAGAAATGAAATTTTGGGAACTGGGTTAGATTCGCTATTTGAGAATGAGCAAAATGGGGAGCAAAGTGGGCCAAAAAGTTATCTTTTTGCTTTCGGTGGCCAGAGTTCAACCTGTCATTTGGGTCACACATGAAACTGAGAGTGGGTCTGCTTGCCCAGTGAAAAAATGAATGTGGTTTTTTTGTTCGATTGGCGGCGTTGTCCAAAGTGGCTAGAGGTTTTGCAGGTCTCAGTGTGGAGTGCTTGCTCTGAGTTCTGTGCGCTGTCTGGAAGGGGAAGGAAGGTGAGCGAAGTTAGCAAGGGCTACAGGGGAATACCCTGCTGCACGTGTGCTGCCTCCCCGCCCCGTCCTACGGAAACTGTCACCAAGCCGCCTGCAGTGTTCCTGCACGCGTTTGGTTGTCGGCAGCCTCACGTTAACTTGCACGTACGGACGGATCCTCTTCACAAATACGTCAGTACTGAAGGTTTACTCTTTCTGTGCTCAGACTGTGCTGGGTTAATTCTGCCAGGAGGCTTGGGACTATGGCATTGGGTTTGTGGCCTTACCGCACTGAGTTTTGTTTCTGTTCTGGTCAGAATTCACCTACTTTAACTTAAGATATTTGTAGAAAAGAGACTTATTTATAGCTTTTAGTGGAGAAAGCGTTAACACGAGAGGGAAAAGCAGCCTTGGTGGTGGCAGGGGACGGCTCACTGGGTGTGTTTGCGTTTTAGGTGTGCTCCTGATAAAGAACACTGCTGGTCTTTTCCTAGATACTTAATGTATAGCGTTTTCACTTAAAAATGACCACATGTGTAGCCTTTTAAAAGGCAATATTTTTGTGACTTCCTTTTGTATCATTTTTTCAAATTGTCTTTTTTTTCAAATTCTAGTTTTCTATTTGCCAAATGAAGGGGTTTTTTACCTGGGTGATAATGAACTTGTAGAACTGCACTCACAGAAAAACAAATTAATTGTGTTTCATCTTTGCATTCGCACATTGAGCCTATTTTTAGACTTCTCAGGATCCATGGCTGTCTGGAAGACCACTGTGATCATGGAAGTATTCTTCATGTGTATCTCTGGAGAGCTGCCGTGGTTGTGTATTAAAGCAATGTTGGGCCTAGGATGCTGAAAACTATACATGCAAATCCTTTTTTGTGTTTAAAATGTGGCTCTGGAATATTTTAAGTATGCCTAGATTTTAATACGTATATTATTAATTTAATTACTTTGTTTATAGAACAAAAGAAACATAAAACTTAAACACAGACCGTTATTTTATTAATAAAGTTGGTGTCTCTGTGAAGAAGCTGTCTATTGAGATGTGTACACAAGAAGTCCAGAAAATTAGTCCTGACTTTTGTCCGTAATTTTTAGCCATGGCTGTGAAGAAGTAATTTAATTTTTCTGCCTTGACCTGAAGGATTGGAACACACTCATGTATTACGGAAGAACCATAGCTTCAGATAATAGCTGCAAGGCACTTTGAACACAGAAAGTTGTATCTGAGAGCTAAGTACAAGGTGATGATATTATTTATGATTGTATATATGACTCCTTTATTAAAGTTTTTTTAAAACTGTGCATTAAGACTTATTTCTTTATTTACATATACTCTTT